TCCGATCCCTAGTAATTATTAATATCTGAGTAAAAGGTAGTTTAAGTAATACAGTATCTATTCTAATCGATTTACTGTAGTTCTATTCTTCAATCAGACTAAGAAGATTCAAATCAAAGCTTTGGTTAAATTTTTTCATAATAGATAATATAGAACAATTCCCAAGTGAAATTTATATTCTCATAAATATTTTGTTAAATAGTGTAAAAATTTTAAATTACTATATAAGAGTTTATTACCATGCCCAGCAACCACTTGTGGGTTGTAGTCCATAAAGAGCTTTGGGTTTTGTTGTATTAAATCCCAATCTAAATTTATAATTTTAAATTAAATATTTTATTTAAACTCACATTGTGGTTTAGCATAATCCGGTGCTGTTATTTGAGGTAAAGAAGCTGAAATTTCTCCTGCCTGATTACCTAAGGATATGTACAATAAAAAAATTATAATCGAAAAAATTAATTTTAATACAGTATAAGCCAATTCTGTTAAATTAAATTGTATTTGACTTCGATATTTGTCAATTCCCAATCTGGTTAATTCCCGATACTAAACTGAGTTTGCTGAAAGTACACTTTAATGTACTGAATTTTAGTGATATTATTATACCTAATATACTAGTTAAGAAACAAAAAGACAGTATTACAAGTACTATGTCACAGGTATTTCGTTAAGTTAAAGGTACATTTGTTCAAATTTTGTATAAAAAGTTGGATAATGAAAGGTTTGTTGAATTTGTAGGACAGAACCTCCGCCATAATGCCCTAATCAATTAAGTTAAAATTCATGATAAATTGATACCAACCGTATTGATCTACGCCATATTGTCCAAAATTATGCCCGGCTATTTGTGGTTGTTGAACATTTTGGTAATCAATTTCGGCTTGTTGAGGATTAGAAAAATCCCAGATTTTTTGTCCGCCTAATTAAATTATTGATAAAAATATTATTTATTTAAATTTATTCATACATATAACTTAAATTTAAAATCCAACATTAAATGTTTTGATAATCACTGTCGATGACGAAATTGAAGATTAAAAGATTTTAAATATTTTTGATATTTTTTATATATTTTGAGGAATTTTGTTTATTATTTTTGGAGGTGACTCAGTGAGTCACTTTCCTTTTTTGACAATTTTTTATGTACTTTTTGCAATGTACTTTACATTGCATCATTTTTATCATAGAAATTTTTGCCTATAAAAAGTAGGCAGAAATTTCACTTTTCAATATCTTTTTCGATATTCATTTTTATAATATTCTGTGTGAATATTTTTTGATTGAAGATAAAGATTTTTTGTATTTGTGTTAAATTTATTTGTTTATTTATCTAGATTAATTATTCTGTTGAATAATTAATCTGAGATATTTTCCCTATAAATTAAATAGGAAGGTAAAAAGAAAATCCTATCTGAGGAAAGTATTTTTTACATTTGGTGCCACGACCCAACGGCGGGTTAAGAAAAAGTTAAAGAAAAAGATTGAAGAGCTATAGGCTCAATTGGATTTATTGGAAGAGCCGTGATAGAAAGGCTTTGTTAAAAATAAAATTTTATTGGAAGAGCTAAGATTTAGAAAGCTTGGTAAAAGGATATAGAAAGATTAATTGGAAAATATTAGAATAAATAAATTAAAAGAAATTGGAAAATAAAAATGTCAGGAACGATTAGAAGTACTATTGCGCCGTCCATAGTACGTTTGAAAAGATATCTTGAAGAGGTAAGGCCTGTAATAGATGCTACTGAACGCACTGAAGAGGGAGTTGAGTTACTCCAAAAAATGGCAGTTAAGATTCGTAGGGCAATTAATTTTGTGGAAGAAAAGGTAGAGAAATGGGAGAAATACATTAAAGATTTACCGGCGAATGAAAGAGTTGCCGAAGAAGGTGTTTTTGCTAGATATGCCATAGAGGAACGGCATTTTTTAGAATGGATAGACTCAGGAAGAGAGGCTATCGATGACATAGAAATTGTTCTTGCTGAAGGTTCTGATGCTCGTAGTACGCAGTCAGAGGTCTCAGAGGAAATAGGAGTTGGCTTAAATAGGACAAATGAAATCCGCAGAAATATAAATGTAGAGCAAGTCCCAGTTAGAAGTGAGCAGGTGCTTCCACCTCATCTCCCGCGGACTAGACTGCCAGAATTTTATGGAGATACTCTACGTTGGCCTGAGTTTTGGCAAGCTTTTGAGCGAACAGTGGATTGTTTGAATATTGATAACGGGCTAAAGGCCCACTATTTGATACAATGTCTTAGAGGAAAGGCAAAAAGGGCAATTTTGGGCTATAGGCCAATATCAGAGCATTATGTGCCTTTGAAGGATGCTCTTATAAGACAATTCGGAAATGAAAAGGCAATTAGAGATACATTGCATGCCGAATTGATCAGCTTGCCAGTAGCTAACGAATCGATATGGTCTTTACGTACATATCTTGAAGAGGTTGAACGAATTTGTAGATCATTGACAGCTATGGGGCAATTAGAAGATGAATCTATAGTAATGATGGCAATTAAGAATAAATTGCCAAGAAGTATTGTTCTAGAATTATTAAAAATGGAAAAATTAGAAAAAGTAAATTGGAATGTAGGAAGATTAAGAGAAGGACTTGCAGAAATTGTGGCCTTAAGAGAAGAGGCACAAAGATGCACGAGATCCTTAGCATATAAAAATAATTGGCAAAATGTGCCGAATTTTAATCAAAGAAGATTTAATGTAAACACAAATAATCAGAGAAGACCAGAACCTGCGCGTGTATTTACAGCGCCAAAGAACCAGAAAAGAGAAATTTTATGTTTGTTTTGCAATGGTCCACACTTAGCTGGAAATTGTAAGCAAGTTAGATTTGTTGGGCAGAGAATGAGCATTCTGTCTGAACAAAATAGATGTTTGATTTGTTTAAGGAAAGGCCATGCCAAAGCAGATTGTAATGTGAAATATAGTTGTGGTATATGTAAAGGAGACCACAATAGAATAATCTGTCCTAAAGAAGTTGAAAAAGAAAAGAAAGGACAGATTAAGGAAAATGAAAGCGTTAATCAAATAAGTGAAAATATGCTTAATATTGATGATAATAACGAAGATAATATTGTTTTGATGAAAGCAGATTTAATGTTGAAAGAGAGAAATAATAAAATAAATGCAAAATGCTTCTTTGATTCAGGAGCAACAGTTAATTTCTTATGTAATGAAATTGTAGAAAAATTAAAATTGAAAAAGCTAAAAAAGACAGAATTAGGCGTAGTGCCATTTTTCAAGAAAGAGCCAATAAAGCTGAAAACTTCGTGTTATTCTTTAAAGATTCTTCTTGATAATGGAAATTTTGAAGAAATAATTGTTTATAGTATTAATAAGAATTTATTGCCAAGATTTAAGTGCGCAGATTTAAGAACAAATGAGATTGTTTGCGCAAATATAGTCCCTGATATGCTTATAGGAATGAAGCATTTCTGGAGGTTCTTTAAAAGAATAGAACCATTATCGGACTATCTATTTAAAGTTGAAACGACTGTAGGGCCAATAATTTGTGGCGAAATTAACAGTGAAAAATTTAAAAAATTAAATAAAAAAGAAAATTTGTGTACTATATTAAGTTCAAATACTTTAGAAAACGAGGAACTTAATAATTACTGGTCATTAGAAACAATAGGGGTCAAGGATGATCCTGTTTGTAAAGATGATAAAATCGCTTTAGATTTATTTAATAATTCGATTAAAAGAAAAGAAAATGGAAGCTATGTAGTGAAATGGCCATGGAAAATTGAGAGAGACAGTTTGCCATCTAATTTTTCATTGGCGTATAAAAGATTTCTAAATCTCATAGATAAATTAAAAAAGAATCCAGATTTATTGGATAAATATGAAGAGATTATTAATAATGATTTGAAAAGAGGTGTGATTGAAAAGGCTGAAAAGAAGAAAGGCGAAATAGAACACTTTCTGCCTCATCACCCAGTTGTTAATACAAAAAAGGTGCGCATTGTTTATGATGCCTCGGCGAGAATGCGAGAAGGAAAAAGTTTAAATGAATGTTTATATCGAGGGCCAATAATCATGCCGGAATTAGCGGGCCTACTAATTCGATTCAGAGTGCCAAAAATTGCCATGTGGGCAGATATTGAAAAGGCATTCCATACATTAGAATTGGAAGAAGAAGATAGAGAAGTGACTAAGTTTATATGGGTAAAAGATACGAAAAAGCCCATATCAACCCAGAATATTCAATATCTAAGATTTGCAAAAGTTCCCTTTGGGGTAATCTCGAGTCCATTTTTGTTATCAGCGACTGTCAGATATCACTTAGAGAAGTGTGATGACCCTGTTGCAAAGATTGCTAAAGAGAATTCCTATGTGGATAATATATTTATTGGAGTAGAATCGGCCAATGAAGCTTGGCTCGCTTATAAAAGATTAAAAGAGATATTTATAGATGCTCAAATGAATTTAAGAGAATTTATTAGTAATAATATAGAACTTAATAAAAGGTTCCCAGTTGAAGATAGGCTAGAGAAAGAAAAGCCAAAAATTTTGGGAATACCTTGGAATATTCATACTGATAAAATAAATATTGTTTTTCCAGTAGTGAATTCTACTGAGAAGATAACTAAAAGAATAGTTCTTCGTGAATTAGCAAGCATGTTTGATCCTTTAGGACTTGCTTCACCTAGTCTTTTATCTGCAAAATTATTTTTTCAGTCTTTGTGGACTAAGGAGAATAAATGGGATGATAAGATTAGTGATGAAAATGCAATAAAGTGGAAAGAAATCACTAACTCATGGATAGTAGATCCCATCGAAATTAATAGAAGAGTTACCAATATTAAAAGTGAAAAACAATTACATGCATTTTCTGATGCATCAAAATGTGCTTATGCTGCTTGCATATACATAAAATCGGAATTAGAAGGAAAAATTCATACACAAATATTATATGCGCGAAATCGTTTGAAGCCTAGAAAAGCAGAAGTGACAATACCACGCATGGAACTTTTAGGTGTGGTTATTGCTAAAAGAGCTTTAGAATTTGTAGAGAAGCAAATTGGAGTTGAAATAAAAGATAAATTTTTATGGTGTGATTCAAAGCCGGTATTAAGTTGGATAAAGGCCGGAGGAAAAAATGAGAAATTTGTAGAAAATAGAATAAATGAAATAAGAAAAAATAATGGAATAAAATTCGGTTATGTAAATACAAGCGATAATCCAGCAGATATAGCCACACGTGGTATAATGGCATCTGAATTAGAAAAATGCCATATCTGGTGGGAAGGTCCTGATCGGTTAAAAAGACCAGAAAATAATTGGCCAAATGAATTGAATTTTGAAATAGAAAAAGAAAATGAGTATGAAAAAGATAATCAGGAATTAATAGTAAATTGTTTAAATAAAAATACGGATAAGGAAGAAAATCTAATAAATTTTAATAATTGGAACTCATGGAATAAATTAATTAAATGTTTAATGTTTGTTACTATAGCAGCTCGTATTTGGAGCAGAAAAATTATAAAAGGAAAATTTCTTAGTGAAATGAATTTGGAAAATCGTATGTCGGCAAGTAATTTCAAAAAAGTTGAAATTTTTGTTTTAAAAATTGCGCAAAGTTCTTATAAAAACGAAAAGAACGAAAATTTACAGACAATAATTGATGAGAATGGTTTATTAAGATTAAAAACAAGAATTAGTAATTGTGAAGCGGAAGATTACTTTAAACATCCAATCTTATTGCCTAAGGGATGTTTTGCTGTAAAACTATTATTGAGAAAAATACATGAAGAATTGAGTCATTCGGGAGTTGACTCTACAGTCGCAAATTTTTTAATTAAATTTTGGACGCCATGTGCAAGGCGCATAACTAAAATTGTTATAAAAGAGTGCAAAAAATGCCAAAGAATCAGTTCGCCTAAATTTGCACTGCCAGATATGCCTATATTGCCTAAAGAAAGAGTAAGGCAATCGCGTCCATTTGAATTTGTTGGGGTGGATTATCTCGGCCCTTCTATGTGCAAAATAGAAGGAGGAAAAGTTAAGTTCTGGATTGCGCTCTTTACATGTTTATCGACAAGAGGAATACATTTAGACTTAATTACAGATCTATCTGCGCTTTCATTCTTGGATATTTTAAGAAGATTTGTAGCGCAAAGAGGCGCACCATTGAAAATAATTTCGGATAATGGCAATCAGTTTATAACGGTTGCAAAAGTAATAAATGCCAATATTGAAGGGAAATGGAAGAAAGAAAAAGCAAATAAAAATAAAAAGTTATTTAATAATTTTTTATTAGAAAAAGAGATCGAATGGAAATTCATACCTGCTCTGTCTCCATGGCAGGGTGGCGTTTATGAGAGATTAGTAAAATTAGTAAAAGATTCGTTTAAAAGATCTTTAGGAAGTCGCATATTAAATATAGAAGAATTAAGAACATTTATAAAGGAAGTAGAAATGTCTATAAATTGTAGACCAATTTCTTATATATCGGTAGAAAAAGATGGGCCGTTATGCTTGAGGCCAATAGATTTTATAATACCAAGTGTGGAAATTATTCAAAAATTTCCAGAAATTGAAGACGATAATTTTAGGCTAGGAAAAATGAGTACAGCCGAACAAGTTCAAGAAAGATGGATGGCCACTTTGAAAACGCTACAGAGGTTTTGGGATACCTGGAAGCGTGATTATCTCATAATGTTAAGAGATAAAGCAAAGTGGACTCATCATAATCAAAGAAATGATTTAAGAAGAAGTCCAAGAATTGGAGAAGTTATTATTGTTCATCAAGAGGGGCAACCTCGTAATGTTTGGCCCTTAGGAAAAATAGTGGAGTTGGATGGAACTCCAGCTAGAAGCGCAAAGATAAAAATAGGAGATAAAACTTTCATACGTCCTATTAATAAAATTTCTCCTCTAGAGATTGAAGATAAGAATATAGTAGAAGAAAATTTTAATAATGAAAATGAAAAAGAAAATGAAGTAGATTTGAGTAAAAAAGAGCCTAAAAAATTAGAGAATAAAAATACGCATCCGATGGTTACAAGATCAAAAGTGGCTTTGTGCCTACAATTTGTGCAATTAATATATTCGGTTGCAATTGCATTTGCCGAACCACCAAGATATATAAATTGTAAAGGATGCTTTATGAAATGCAGGACTTTTGGCGTTGAAGCTAACGCAGTTGATTATATAAATAAAATTGAATTATGTTGCGCAGGAAGTTGCCTTTTAGAAATAAATGGTTTGTCAAGATTAACATTTAAAATTCCAAAAGATAAAACAGCATTGGATTATAAATGCCGAGCCACTTATTGGGGCAAAAGATATATGTACAGAGACTGGATTTCGTGTCCAGCAGTTGATCCATGTATAAGAATATCTGGCTTACGTGAAAGAATAATTAATCCTCAATGTGAATCATTAGAAAGTTTAATACTGATTGGTATTGTAGCGGGAATTATTCTGACAATTATTCTATCTATAGCATTATTTGCCTGTAAACTTTTGTTAATTTTCGGAAAATTATTAAGAATAATTTGGAATATTGTTAAAATGCCGATGGAAATATTTTTTGCGAAGAAGAAAAATAGACAAAAGGATATAACAGAGAAATTATTATTGAGTAATAAGAATAAAACTAAAAATAATATAAAGATAAAGAGAAACAGAAGATTGAATAAATTACGTTTAATGGCATTATTGGCTATTTATTTAAATTTTATTCAATTAATTAATGGAGAAGTTGAAGTTGTAGTTATTCAAGCTAAATCTGAAGATTGTCAAAGAAAAGCAGGTATTTCTACCTGCAAAATGAACGCCGTAAATACTGTGACACTTTTGCCAAATGAGCAAATAAATTCGCTCTCGTTAAAGAATAATAAAGGAATAATAATGGGAGAGCTAGAGTTGTCAATGCATGGATTGCAAATCCAATGCAATCAGAAAATACTTAGATATTTGAGATCATATGAGGTAAAAGTTCAGTCAATCAAAAGATGCCCAGCTGCGGGAACATGTAAAGCTGGAAGATGCAATCACATTAGAACTAAAGATTATGTTGAAGAATTATCAGAATGGAATAATTATCCAGGTAATTCGTTTTGTATTGAAGGAAAATCACTTTGGGGATATGGCTGTTCGCTGCCTGGAGCAGACTGCTATTTTTATAGAGTGTATGCCATCCCAAAATCAGACGAGATATTCAAACTTGTATCCTGTCCTACATGGGATTACAGTATTGAAGTAGACATAGGACTTGTTTTGAATGGAAATATGACAAAAAAGAGATTTACGCTGAATCCTGGAATGACTTTTAAATGGAAAGATATAAAATTTACATTAATAGACGTTACACCTCCAATGGCACCTGTTTTAAACAGTGAATTTATTATTGGAGAGAGAGGAATTGCAATTTCAGAAAATAGTAATTCTTATCTAGAGTGTTATGAAAATGCCGGAAATTTTTCAAAATGTGAATTAGAAATTAATGCATGTAAAGAATGCTGGCTAGAACAAGATATTGAGAAAATACGATGCGCATGTTTGGACTTTATTATTGAAAAATTAATAAAAGATCCGCGCAAATCATTGCCATTGGAAATAAATCATATTAGATTAAGAAGAAAAGAGCATATTTTGCCACTCCCTACTTTCGTGCATATTTTGCCACTCCCTACTCATTAAATACTGTATCAGATGGAGTATTTAATTAAAAGGAATTTTTCCTAAAATTAATTTTCAACTGTGATGTTTTCATTTTACATACTCTTGTCCATATCTTTTTGACCAACACTACTTTATTAAAATTTATTAAAATTATTGCCGTATTATTATTTAAATTAGATAATTTATGTAAATTAATTTTCAAAAAAATTTATTTTAAAACAAATTACAGGTTGAGAGAAAATCATCTAAAAATTGAAGTATATCCAATTCATGTGGTGGGAGTTTAATTAAAATTTTTGTTTAAATTAATAAAATAATATGTAAATTGATAAATGTTAAAAATGTTTTTAGAAATTATAAATATTTTTGTAGATCACAGGAAGTTGCCAAATTTGTCGGAAAAAGGTTTTATATGATCTACGAAATCAAAAAATAATTCCAAACTGCGGTAATTTATTATTATTATTAGAGGGTAAGACAAAACACTTACCATATTTCTTTCACAAGAGAAAATGCGTGTTTGCAATTCTAAAATAGACCTGTTTTTGGCTTATACATAATTAGTTTGGTCTGTATAATCTAATTATTTTGGCCTTCGTTGGACACCTACTAGTTAGACGCCCGTTTTCTGTTTTAACTGTTTTAAAAATACTTCCTTTTATAATTATATTAATATACATATTAGTGATGTTCGGATATCACGTCTCCCGAATCGGAAAATTTTTCTGAGTTTTTACCCTCCTTATCCGGATTGCATGGGTTTTTTCTTCTCCCGAACATAACTAATATGTACATATTTGCTGGTGTGCAGCAAAATTACAAGTTTATTTCATTTTTTCAAATACATTACGGTAGTCCATAAGTTCGTGCGTTTTTAGGCAAACATTTTAAACAGTCATAATTCGAAAAATTAAAAAAAAAATTTTCAAAAATCTTCTCTTGATTTAAAAATTTTTTTTAGTTTCAATTGTAACGGATATTGAAATTAATGATGAATTTAAAGAAAAGAATAAAGATGAAGAGTGTTTTTGTTTGGAAAAGTTGATTGAACAAGATAAACAAGGAAAATATAAAGAAATTCAACAAATACCAAAATGCGAAGTTTGTATATAAAAATTATTTAGAATTTTAAATATATATATTTAGCATAACTTTCATAAAGAATGTCTTCAAGAATGGTAATTAATTAATTTTTATTACAATAAAATATTAAAAAATATTTTTCAATTATTTCTATATTTTCAATTAATTTAAATAATTTTATATAAATTTTGAAATTATGCTCTTCTTAGGCCATAATAATAACACAAAATATCAATTAAAAATTGAAATAACACTAATTTTACTTTTAAAATAAATTACAGGTTGAAAACAAAAGATGTTGAAGATGATGGTGGAAAACATTTAGTGGGAATTTTAATTTAAATTAATAAACTATTAAGAAATATTTATTATTACATAAATAAATTATGTTTTTGAAGATAAAAGATGGGTGCCCAATGTGTCGAGCAGAAGTTTTATGTAAAAACGAGAAAAAGGAAATAATTCCAATCAACTGTAATTTATATTAAAAAATTTTAAAAAATAATCTATTTAATTTAATTTTAGAAACAAGAGAAGCTGAACATTTCAATTTTGATGTGAAGTTACGATTGTGCATGACAGATTTTATATTCGAAAGTTTTGGGGTTTTTTTTGCCAAAAATTAAAAATTTTATGAAAATTCAAAAACTAACCGATGAGACATTTTTAAAAATATCCCCTTTGTACATATTTATGTTTATTTTAACCTCTTCCCTTGTAAAAAGAATCCCGAACCTTTCTCATTATTTTAGAACAATTCCCGTCCCTTATTATTGTGTTTTTTATTTACTTTTTAAATTGATATGTTACAGTTCCCTATAAATATTCATCCCCAAATGATCATTTATATATCAATATCATTTATCAATATCATTTAGTGTAGTTTTGGTTCCTTCACTATATCTGAAGTCAAACTTTAATTTTATAATTACCCGAACTTTCAAATTCCAAACAAATCTTTAACCCTCGATACATGTCAGATATTATAATTTGTATCAAACTACCCTCATTTCAGATTTTTAATCTTAATTAAAAAATAAATATATTATCATGGTTGCAGTTGACCCAAAATTGAAAGGGATTGGACAACAACGAGGATTACAAATTTGGAGAATTAATGTTAAATTATTATTATTTTAATTAATACAAAACACTTTTTTAACAGAAATTTGCTTTAGAAGACATGCCAAAAGAGCAATATGGCAATTTTTATAGTGGAGATTCCTATATTATTTTAAATGTATTTTTGTTTAATTTTTAAATTAAAATATATTTTTTAAATAAAGACTAAAAATATTGGAGAATGGGACGTTCATTTCTGGTTAGGAAGAAATACTTCTCAAGATGAGATGGGTACTGCAGCAATTAAAACTGTTGAATTGGACGATTCATTAAATGGATTGCCTGTTCAATATAGAGAGGTAACAAAATAAAAATATCCTTTTTAATTATAATTCTAATGTCCTAAAACTTAAAATTTTCATAAACAGTTGCAAGATCATGAAAGTGCCTTATTTCTCAGTTACTTCAAAGATGGAATTAAGTAAAATATTTTTTAATTATATTCAAATTATTTGTTTTTGAGAATAAGAATCCTTTGAGAATAAAAATTAATCCACCCTCCGATCGGATTAATCCCCACCCCCTCTCCGAATTAATTATTCGAATTGATCCTCACGCCCACCCCCTCCTAAATAATTGTGGAAAAAGCAAGGTTCCATAAATCTAAAAATATGTATAGAGTTCTGTATTGGCTCCACTATGGTTCAACTATCATCATATATAAGAATATTTTTTATCGAAAATTCATTTGAAGATAATTGTATAATATTTAAAAAATCCCAATAAATTAAGGAATTTCTTAATATAATTATAAAAAAGATATTTTCTTAATTAATTAGATATTTGGAAGGAGGTGTTTCTACAGGATTCAAACATGTTGTAGATGCTTATGATAAGTGGACACCAAAATTATTTCAATGTAAAGGAAAGAGGAATGTTAGATGTACTCAAGTAAAATGTGTTAAAGAATCACTTAATCGTGGTGATGTATTTATTCTTGATTTGGGTCTAGATATTTATGTTTGGATGCCTCCACAGAGTGGACGATTGGAGCGTCTAAAAGGAATGCAAGTAAAAAAATAAATTTATTTAATAAAGTAGTTCCTCTAATTGAATGCCCCTCTAATGAGATGCTCGGTTTTCAATTAGAGGAAATACTGTAATTATTTAATATTATATTATTATTCGAAAAAATTACTAAAAATATTCTTAAAATTTTTAGCAAGCAAAAAGCATAAAAGACAATGAAATGAGAGACTAAAAACAGTGATTTTTTTATTTTAAAATCCTTTTACATCCCGTTCTTAATTCACATCTTATACATAGGTATATTACAATATTGTATTACAATATATTTGTGCAAATTTTTAGCTTTTTTGGTAAATATCTTGTAATTGTTTGCGCATATGTAATTTAGTCGACAAATTTTAAATATTTACCCAATATATGAATTTTAGGTCGACCAGCACGTTCTTTATCTTTTATGCTTTTTGCTTGCTAAAAATTTTAAGAATATTTTTAGTAATTTTTTCGAATAATAATATAATATTAAATAATTACAGTATTTCCTCTAATTGAAAACCGAGCATCTCATTAGAGGGGCATTCAATTAGAGGAACTACTTTATTAAATAAATTTATTTTTTTACTTGCATTCCTTTTAGACGCTCCAATCGTCCACTCTGTGGAGGCATCCAAACATAAATATCTAGACCCAAATCAAGAATAAATACATCACCACGATTAAGTGATTCTTTAACACATTTTACTTGAGTACATCTAACATTCCTCTTTCCTTTACATTGAAATAATTTTGGTGTCCACTTATCATAAGCATCTACAACATGTTTGAATCCTGTAGAAACACCTCCTTCCAAATATCTAATTAATTAAGAAAATATCTTTTTTATAATTATATTAAGAAATTCCTTAATTTATTGGGATTTTTTAAATATTATACAATTATCTTCAAATGAATTTTCGATAAAAAATATTCTTATATATGATGATAGTTGAACCATAGTGGAGCCAATACAGAACTCTATACATATTTTTAGATTTATGGAACCTTGCTTTTTCCACAATTATTTAGGAGGGGGTGGGCGTGAGGATCAATTCGAATATTTAATTCGGAGAGGGGGTGGGGATTAATCCGATCGGAGGGTGGATTAATTTTTATTCTCAAAGGATTCTTATTCTCAAAAACAAATAATTTGAATATAATTAAAAAATATTTTACTTAATTCCATCTTTGAAGTAACTGAGAAATAAGGCACTTTCATGATCTTGCAACTGTTTATGAAAATTTTAAGTTTTAGGACATTAGAATTATAATTAAAAAGGATATTTTTATTTTGTTACCTCTCTATATTGAACAGGCAATCCATTTAATGAATCGTCCAATTCAACAGTTTTAATTGCTGCAGTACCCATCTCATCTTGAGAAGTATTTCTTCCTAACCAGAAATGAACGTCCCATTCTCCAATATTTTTAGTCTTTATTTAAAAAATATATTTTAATTTAAAAATTAAACAAAAATACATTTAAAATAATATAGGAATCTCCACTATAAAAATTGCCATATTGCTCTTTTGGCATGTCTTCTAAAGCAAATTTCTGTTAAAAAAGTGTTTTGTATTAATTAAAATAATAATAATTTAACATTAATTCTCCAAATTTGTAATCCTCGTTGTTGTCCAATCCCTTTCAATTTTGGGTCAACTGCAACCATGATAATATATTTATTTTTTAATTAAGATTAAAAATCTGAAATGAGGGTAGTTTGATACAAATTATAATATCTGACATGTATCGAGGGTTAAAGATTTGTTTGGAATTTGAAAGTTCGGGTAATTATAAAATTAAAGTTTGACTTCAGATATAGTGAAGGAACCAAAACTACACTAAATGATATTGATAAATGATATTGATATATAAATGATCATTTGGGGATGAATATTTATAGGGAACTGTAACATATCAATTTAAAAAGTAAATAAAAAACACAATAATAAGGGACGGGAATTGTTCTAAAATAATGAGAAAGGTTCGGGATTCTTTTTACAAGGGAAGAGGTTAAAATAAACATAAATATGTACAAAGGGGATATTTTTAAAAATGTCTCATCGGTTAGTTTTTGAATTTTCATAAAATTTTTAATTTTTGGCAAAAAAAACCCCAAAACTTTCGAATATAAAATCTGTCATGCACAATCGTAACTTCACATCAAAATTGAAATGTTCAGCTTCTCTTGTTTCTAAAATTAAATTAAATAGATTATTTTTTAAAATTTTTTAATATAAATTACAGTTGATTGGAATTATTTCCTTTTTCTCGTTTTTACATAAAACTTCTGCTCGACACATTGGGCACCCATCTTTTATCTTCAAAAACATAATTTATTTATGTAATAATAAATATTTCTTAATAGTTTATTAATTTAAATTAAAATTCCCACTAAATGTTTTCCACCATCATCTTCAACATCTTTTGTTTTCAACCTGTAATTTATTTTAAAAGTAAAATTAGTGTTATTTCAATTTTTAATTGATATTTTGTGTTATTATTATGGCCTAAGAAGAGCATAATTTCAAAATTTATATAAAATTATTTAAATTAATTGAAAATATAGAAATAATTGAAAAATATTTTTTAATATTTTATTGTAATAAAAATTAATTAATTACCATTCTTGAAGACATTCTTTATGAAAGTTATGCTAAATATATATATTTAAAATTCTAAATAATTTTTATATACAAACTTCGCATTTTGGTATTTGTTGAATTTCTTTATATTTTCCTTGTTTATCTTGTTCAATCAACTTTTCCAAACAAAAACACTCTTCATCTTTATTCTTTTCTTTAAATTCATCATTAATTTCAATATCCGTTACAATTGAAACTAAAAAAAATTTTTAAATCAAGAGAAGATTTTTGAAAATTTTTTTTTTAATTTTTCGAATTATGACTGTTTAAAATGTTTGCCTAAAAACGCACGAACTTATGGACTACCGTAATGTATTTGAAAAAATGAAATAAACTTGTAATTTTGCTGCACACCAGCAAATATGTACATATTAGTTATGTTCGGGAGAAGAAAAAACCCATGCAATCCGGATAAGGAGGGTAAAAACTCAGAAAAATTTTCCGATTCGGGAGACGTGATATCCGAACATCACTAATATGTATATTAATATAATTATAAAAGGAAGTATTTTTAAAACAGTTAAAACAGAAAACGGGCGTCTAACTAGTAGGTGTCCAACGAAGGCCAAAATAATTAGATTATACAGACCAAACTAATTATGTATAAGCCAAAAACAGGTCTATTTTAGAATTGCAAACACGCATTTTCTCTTGTGAAAGAAATATGGTAAGTGTTTTGTCTTACCCTCTAATAATAATAATAAATTACCGCAGTTTGGAATTATTTTTTGATTTCGTAGATCATATAAAACCTTTTTCCGACAAATTTGGCAACTTCCTGTGATCTACAAAAATATTTATAATTTCTAAAAACATTTTTAACATTTATCAATTTACATATTATTTTATTAATTTAAACAAAAATTTTAATTAAACTCCCACCACATGAATTGGATATACTTCAATTTTTAGATGATTTTCTCTCAACCTGTAATTTGTTTTAAAATAAATTTTTTTGAAAATTAATTTACATAAATTATCTAATTTAAATAATAATACGGCAATAATTTTAATAAATTTTAATAAAGTAGTGTTGGTCAAAAAGATATGGACAAGAGTATGTAAAATGAAAACATCACAGTTGAAAATTAATTTTAGGAAAAATTCCTTTTAATTAAATACTCCATCTGATACAGTATTTAATGAGTAGGGAGTGGCAAAATATGCACGAAAAATATGCACCAAAATATGCCAAATTTGCAAAAAATATGCATTAAATATGCATCAAAAATTTAGTTAAAAATATGCAAAATTTCCCAAAATATGCACAGATATGTAAATAAGCACGAAAGTACCGAAATATGCAAAGATATGCTATAGAAACACGGTCACTAATGCTCGTACCGCGCTACTGTAAGAGAAATAATTACCAATTTTGAAGACATTCTTTGTGAAAATTATGCTAAAATATATTTAAAATTTTAAATAATTTTTTATAAATTAGACCAACATTGCAATCTGTCTTTGTAATTTCTTTGTATTTCCCATTTTTGAATATAACCAACTTTTCCTTACAAATATTACAATACATATTTTTAATTTCGTTTTCATTTTCTTCATTAACTTCAAAACCCGTAAAACTTGAATCTAAAAACAAAAATTATTTTTTAAATCAAGATAAGAAGAAGAAAGCTGAAATTTTGTTGCAATGCCATTATTTTTAAGTAAAATATTAAAAACTTAAGTTTTTTTGAACTAAAGACTGCAAAATATTCACCTAACATATTTATTTAAAGTCCAAAATAGTCGCAAAAATAAACAAAATAAGAGTTAAAAATGCAAAATAATAAAAAATATACTAAATTATACTGATCAAAATAATGCTAGAACAATTAATCTTAATTTTTTAACTGTGCCCTACTAGGGAAATTAACCATACTAGCTAACATAAAATTTAATATTTACATAATTATCCGTTTGATAAACTTCGCACACTTATGTAGTGCAGTTTTTAATTAATTGAATTATTTCTAAATAACTTTACCTTTTGGAAATTTCTCAAAGAATAACTGGCTTGGAGAAATCATCGAGAAAAATTCCTTAGAATATCTATAAAAATAATTTATATTCTATGCATGTAGTATTAATATTTTTTATTTAATATGACTCGTAAAAATTTTTTTTAATTATTGAGGAGTTGTTATAAAGTGTAAATGAAAAAGCGAGCTACCTCCTGTTTCATTCTCTCTACTTTATTAACATTGTCTTACAATTGAGGCGAGAATTCACGAGGCGCGAGGAAGAAAAAGAGGTGAAAATTCACTTTTTATTTAAAAAATAGAAATATGGTTTATCGAAACCCCTCCCTTATTTTGAGCTACTCTATTTAAGGGTTCCAGAAAGTATATAAAATTCGCACTAAGTAAGCGAAGGTCCCTAGCAGACATGGGCGAAACTCCAATTTTTTTTTCGGCGAAACGAAACGAAACAAAAATTTTTAAAAATCGTTTCGTTAACAAAACGAAACGAAACAGTCAAAATTTAACAAAACGAAACGAAACAAAACGAAACATTTTAATTTCGAAAAAAATTTCAAAAAACTGGATTATTTTATTAAGTACAAAATTTTAAGCATGTTAATTGGCCAATAATGACCTATATATTATTATATAATTATGTGGGACCACAAATTATGGTCCCATAGCCATTTGTTGTGGGCCCAATGAGTATGTTTCCCTTAATCTCACTTAATTCCATTATCACCATTAATTCCGCAAAATGAATCTTAGAAGGCTTTGACGCCGTAAATCTTCCTATTTCAGACTTTTTCAGCACCGCAGGCAAAAATTTTGAAAATTTCAGAAAGACGTAGGCGAAAAAAATTAACTTTTTAGTGGTCAAAAGAACAATTTTAAGAATTTTTCTATTGATATAAAGTACGAAAGTACTAGTCAAATACGTAGTATTCAGATTTATGTTGATCAACGACATTCATGATCATTGGCATAAGTTGCGTTTTTCGTTTTATAATATTGTATTTTGCGCCCGCCCATGGTTGGCATTAAGAGATGATTTGATTAGAGATAGACCGACCCATTAAGAGATAGACCCATTCTATATGCATAATCTAGCAAAGAACTCAAACATTACCTATTAAAAACATAAAATCTAACGGAAAATTCAAAAAAACTATAGTAAATTATGCGCCGTAGGCGCTTACAATTCAGATTTCGGCGCCGCAGGCAAAAATTTTTTGAATTTCCATCAACAAAGTGGAAAATTTTTCAGTTTTCGAGTAATATTTTGGCTTAAAAAATAGGTAAAGTTTCGTTAACTAAACACAGGTGTTTCGTTAGCAAAACGAAACGAAACAAATTAAAAAGTGTTTCGTCACGAAACGAGACGAAACAGTAAAAAACATAACTAAACTAACGAAACAACGAAACGAAACGTTTCGCCCATGTCTGGTCCCTAGTGAGGAAATTATTTGAAATTTGTAATATCCTAAGTAAAACCCCTCGCTTATTTTGAGCTACTCTCTTCAGAGTATGTAACATAAAACATGCAATTGCATATTTTACCCAGCCCTAATACTCATTAATTTAAATTTAAAAAATTGTTTTTTATTCAAATTAATACTTCTTTTGTTTGATAAATTTTCCACATTCCTCTAACTTCCAACCCTTTTTTACAGAAATTTTACCAACAAACATTGGGTTGAACTCCAATTTTGCTATATACACTTCATTTTCGGAAGTTATTTTATATTTATCAAAAATAGCATCGTTCATATTTTTTATATTTTCTGATTGAAAGAAAATTGTGAGTAAATTTTTTCCTTCATTTAGTTTCTTATAAAATTCATATATTTTATCAACTATGCAAAATGACATTTTGTCTGAAAATAATATTTAGATATTATAGTATTAGAAAATGTTCTTGTAATGGAGCCTTGGAATTCGAAAACATAAGAAACTCTATAGCCAAGTTTCTCAGCTCCGAGACCGAGGTATAATCAACTAAATAGAATATGATTCTATTTAATAACTGGATATAGTTATTGAACCCAGATATCCTAAATTTTTAGGTTTCGGATAGTTTCTGAAAGTTTTGAGTGGTTAAAGAATATAGTGAAATCTCACTAATTTAACTCACTGATACTTGTCTTTATTTTTTAAATTACCGTAAAAGCTCTAATAGAAGCACATTACTAATAGAAGTCATTACTAATAGAAGCCCACTCAATAAGGGGTATTGAAAAATAAAAGCCCAGGGCTTCTATTAGAACTTTTACGTTATTAGGTTTTTAACATTTTTATTTACCTAAATCATTTTGAACACTTTCAGATAAAATAAAATATTTGTTTTTAGATTTATTTAAATAATCTTTGAAATTGAAACTATTCTCAATAATAATTGGCTTTTTAGCTTTAATACTTTCTTTAAACGAAAAATTTTTAACTTTATTTAAAAGTTTTTCATTATATTGTTTAACTAAATCTTTGTTTAATTCAAAACATTTATTTGCATTTTCCTCTCCCATATATTTTG